TTTTTCGACATCTGCAATGCACTGTACGTTAAGTCACCAAGAGTTTGGTTTATTGTTAATACCGACCACCGACATTATGTGCCATAGCTTTGAGTACCTAGTAATATTAATTGACAAAATGAACTACCTTCGTGGCCGAACGGTCTCTATGTTAGACTGCCACGCAGAGGTTCCCGGTTTGATTCCTGGGCCGGGAGAATTATGTGTCTCTACATTTATTTCTCTCGTTAGTTTGGGTGTAATTTATGGTTGTCTACGTCTGTGTTCATAACACTGGCGACTCAGGGTGCTATAAGTGTGTGCGTTATTTGTTTATTTATTATTTATTGCACAAAGGTTGCCATGAACTAAAATTTATATGATAGAAAAAAAGTACTTCAATCGACTATTATTAATATTGAAATGTCTTCGATTCGACTGGATAACAGGGCAACACACGCAGGTTTGAACCAGCAATCTTGAGTTGATCAATGTGCTTGTTGTAGCAAAATGAGTTTGTCAATGTGCTTGTTGTAGAGCTTTCTATTGGATTTAAACTTTTTAGCTATAGCAATAATGATAACAAACTAGTGAACACAACAAAGTTTCATAAAAAAATGTATAAATCTCTCAGTGGTAAAAACGTCAATGATGCCTTGATAGCCTGCAGGTTTGACCTACCGCTTCTCTCGGAATTGTTGTGCGAAGATTAATTTGAAATTTACCAGGAGTGTGAAGTCGCCTGAGAGGAGACTCGTGCTCAACAGTGCAGGTTGATTATATTCAATAAAATAAACATTGCAATTTCGATTAACTTCAACCGAACCGCCCATTCACATAAAAGGTAGTAGCAGCAGAGCTCCTTGTGAAAGAGTTTATCCAGGGAAGTACTGCCACCATACCTACTTCAGCCGCCAAGCAGTGATGTCAGCATTACTGTGTTCCGGTTTTGAAGGGTAAGGGTGCTAGTGAAATTACAAGCACATGGGACTTGTCAACTTATGTCTCAGCATGACGGGCGCAGTGGCAGTGCCCTTTAGATCTTTGCGATTTAAAGCTCTGAGTGGCACTGCAACTGTCATGGACAGGCGTGTAGCTTACCATCAGGCGCACGACTTGTTCGTCCCGTCACTTGATACGATAAAAAAGGTCGTTTTCTTTATGACGACCAGAATCAGGATTTTGCGGATAATCAACATTTCACATTAACATACCCGCTTATTCTCGTAACTTGAGCTGGAGTTACACTTAATCCGGGCAAGAACTAAGGCAGTTGTAATAATCGTAGTGTTTCGACATTTGGCCACGGTAACGGCACCTTTAGACGCAGTTATCAGATGCCATAATGGTCGGGCCTTTTATGATGGGAAGTTTTTTACTTTAAGTCTTACAAGATTTGTTATATTTCTATCCCGGCATTTGTTTCTTTAGTTCGTTTTTTAAAGATTTCCTTTTATTCTGAAAGTTTGCTCAGCTTTAGTTTCAAATATAAAAATTTTAAATATTGTCTTTGGCTCAAATAGCGGAGGAGGAGCCAAAAAATTGAAAGAAGAAAATTTGCGATGGAATTTGGTTCACATACTATTATAAAATAAAGTGGTAGTTTAAAATTACTACGGTGTAGTGCAGTAGACCTCTTACCTTCTTATAATATATCTTTTAGCAGAGCTCCTTGTGTAAGATTTCGTTCAGGGAAGTACTGCCACCTTGTCTATTTCTGCTGCCAAGCAGTAATGTGAGCACTACTTATTCCGGTTTCGCAGGGTGCTGGTGAAATTATGGATACTTATTGGGACTTATCAACTTATTTCTCTAGGTGACCGGCGCAGTGGCAGTGCACCTCAGATCTTTGCGATTTAAAGCTCTGAGTGGCACTGCAACTGCTATGGACAAGTGTGTTGCTTAACACCAGCGCCCGACTTGTTCCTTCTGTTACTTGATATCATAAAAAAATACAAGTAAGAATCCAATGATAATAGTTCTTTATTGCACAAAGAAAAGACATTAAAAATACATGTTACAAAGGGCATATACAAAAGTGAGCTTATCTCTAATAATATAATAATAACGCATACACTCGACATAGCCTCGCACTAGGAAAACCTGTGAAATCTCTAGAAGAGATCTCTTCTAGTCAACCCTAGCCTTGTTGAAAAATCTGCGGGACTAATTATTATATACAAAAAATTTATTACGACTTATATTTAAATACAAATATCACAAAAATTAAATGTATTTTTGACTAAATCAAAAAGTCGAAGCTCAAAAATTAAAACCTTGGACTGAGAGAGAGAGAGAGAGAGAGAGAAAGAAATGGAAGACTTGAGAGTACAAAAAATATTTGAACATTGACTGGCTCAACTTGCATGTAGTAGCAGATTTTTTCCATTCAAATCATTTATTTTGTTTCACGTACCGACTCAACTCAGAATTTAGTTATTTTTGTTAGACCTCTAATGAAATCAAATTAGGGACTTAACAATTCTGATATCTCGAATTTTAAACAGATATAAATAAAGTAGACTAGCATGTACATTACAATGTTTCCAGGAAATAAAGTCACGCAAGAACCTTGGCAACTGCTGATGCTAAAAGAACGTGAGCAACTTCAATGCATAATAACAATAACTTAGGTCTACTTTGTACTTATAAAATATTTCTATTACAAGACATGACAAGAAGCTTATCAAGACGACGGAATTCCATGTGTTAACATTGTGGGCATTGGATGAAAAGGTTCTACTATTAATGATAGAACCAATTAGGGATTTTTTTATACCAAGTAACGGTTGTAACAAGTCGTGAGTCTGTTGATAAGCGACACACCTGTCCATAACACGAGCTTCAAAACGCAAGGATCTGAGGGACATTGTCACTGCGCCCGCGCGACCGCCTCTCTGAGATATAAGTTGACAAGTCCCATGTGTCTGTAATTTCACTAACAACCCTACTTCCCTGGAGGAACTCTTTCGCAAGGACCTCTACTGCTACTAAAAAAATTTGAAACTTTTCTAAATGAGTTTTGGTCTGGACAGTACCGTGGAGTTATTTTATTGCTCTAGTAACAGAACAGGGCTCTAGAACAGGGAATCGGCCTAATTGTTAGTCACTATTATTATTAACAAACATTTTGTATAGGAAAAAATTAAATATTATTAGTCTTTTTTACGGCGAAACTAGAGTAATTAGAATGAGATGAGGTTTTCGTAGATACACAATGTCAAGAGAGTAATCAGTCAGGTAATTAACATAGAAAAACGTCAAAAACTCCAGACTATGGCAATCGTAAACAAAATTACGGCATAAGTCAGGTCACTGGTGACATTTCCAATGATACATCTTACACCCGTTCCGCAATATAGCCAGTCGCGAGTGGAGCAATGGGGAAATCGAGGAGGGAATTTACGAGGCGTTTGAGGTTCTGCGGTTGAGACCAAATTATGTGAGCATCATGTAACTTACCTTAATGAATGACAAATGTTATGGCTGTACATATTTTTTACTGAGCATTGCTGACTCGTTTAATTACGTGATGTATATAATTCGGAGACAAAATGTTTGGAAGCTAATACAGATTTAAATGAAATGATTTTACACTTTTAAAAGGAACGTTAAGGTAGAAGGATAGGTTTCCTTTTCCTGTGTAAAAGTCTGGTTCAAATTGAGCGAGCAAGATGGTAATTTACAGTTTTGCTAGTTGCAATTGATTTTTTTTTATTTTTTGACCTCACGTTATTTATCTGTTTTAAATAGAAAAGTGTATGTATTGCGTTAAAACTGTGTCAAGTTAGTGGTAAAACCATGGGTTATGTGGTTTTAAGTAAGAAAATTCTCTGGTGTTTCATAGTTTTTGAACTAATTTTTATTTTGTTCAGGCAAAAAGTTAACGATTTTTCAAGTTTTCATGATGAATGATGGTAGACTATCATTTTGCGAAAATAGGGCATTTTACAGGCCAATTATATTCATAACGCATTTATATGATCAGAGTGGAATAAAACTGCATGCATGTCTTAGTCCATTCAGATAGAGTGATCGGATGCGACAACAATAAACATTATATAGTAGGTGCGACTGATATCGCGATCAGAGTATACAAATTGAAGGATTAATGCACACCGTACACTCTTCATAGAGCATCAAAAGAATTCGGTATTCCTTGGACAACTCAGGGATAATGTTCATCCAAAGATGCCATGCCAATGATGAAAAAAATGAAAAGCTTGTATAATTTCGTGATAACGTAAATAGGCAAGTATGTATCACGGACTCAAAGTGACTGTCACGTAATTGTCCAAGTTAACAGTGTTCTGATAATTAAGTATTAATTTTAGAAGTATTCGTCGAATATAATATTTATATCTTCAATAATACAGTTAAAAGACGGATTAATAGTCCTAATAAAGAGTTTTGTTTCTTTTTTTTCAAACAATCACTTGTTTTATTACACAATTATGTTTTATCACGAAATTAGAGTATACAGGGTGTAAACACGTGGTCTGTGATGTAAACGTTAAGCGTGCCTGGGCAATTAATCCGCAATTATAAGAGATATCAAAAACCTTTAAATTGATATCGAAAGTACGTTTCCTAATGAGTAAATCCACATTCATAACTTTTTAAATAAAACAAGAAATATCCGTAATTTTAACGTTAAAGGCTCTCATATTTAATATGACATTCTTAGAGCGGCTTTAGTTTACCTCTTTCAAGAGGTAACAATAAGTTTACAGATAACGAAACTGCTATAAATATAGTAATCGAATTATCTTTTAATTGAATAAAAATAAAGTGATGTTTATTTTTAATTAAATATACAACATTTTGTATTCAAAGCAGTTGTAATAAAATTAACAACTGTAATTTCCAAAATGCTGTAGCTTCGAAATAATTTACAAAAAACTTTAAAACACTGTGCCAGTGCTAAAAATAAAAAAAAGGAACTTAAAAAAGATAAAATCAACATGTGATGTGAAATGTGAAATAAATTCGAAAATCGAAGTTGTACATTATTTTTAAAAATGTCGGTGTGGTTATGGGTGGCTGCCTTGTTGTGTGGGACTCAAGCTATTGTTTTGCCGCCTCCATGGGCCGATGTGAGAAGAAACCCTTGTGCGGCACATCCGAAAGGCTGGTTGATGCTTTACTGGCCTGCTGACGGGAATTGCTACACTATTTATAAGGTTGGTAGTAATTTTAAAATTAATTCGGTAGTTATTTGTTTCAGTTATTTAATAAAACAATAAAGTAAAACATTTTCAACGATATTTACTTAGCTATAAAATGGTGAATTAAGGCTTGACATAGAAGGTAAAGTTTTAGGTACGTTTTAGGTATTAAGCATATTAAAATAATGCACTTATATGCGTTCATTTAGCTCGTTTATTTTATAGGACGCGGTTAATTTAATGAATATCCCATTATCATCATCATTGTACTGTATAATGTTTTATTATTAAATTTATATTATTTATTATATATATTTATTAGTTATTAGTAACATTATAAAAGGTTTTAAAATATTTGTTACCTTACATGTGATTAAAGAGTATATTTATTTCAATTTGAAAAATGTCGCCTACGTACGGTACTTAGAAATGTTGTTTTGTAACATTGATATCACAGCCTAGAGACAACTCAATTATAGTTCAAGAACAAATCATAAAAAAGAAATGTATATAAATCTGTAAACGTCCTAACGCCGATTTTCCAAGTTCACCTGTGACTAAATAGCTGTACAAAAGAATTGATAATTAAAAAAGAGTTTCCTCTAGACCACATAGTAAGTCAAATGAAGAGAGAGAAAGCTTGCTAAAGAGTTCCTATTCATCCTATCGTGGAAGATGATGTCAGTGTTATATGTACATGGAAATGTAGATATGCAGGCAGCGTGTTCCATTCTCAGATTGAACACGTTAAGCAAAATGATGTGAAATGTTTGAATGTAATCATATATCAATCAGTTATCGTGTAATGTGCGGCACAGACAGAAAATGGGTAATGTAAAACGCTATAACTTGAGTTTTTTAAAGGCGAGAGGGAATAGGCATTATTTAGTGCGCATGCTCCGTAGTTGATGTCATCGTCACTTTACATCCGGTGAGAAGGAGGTCAAATATCAAATTATTCCTTTTTTCACATCACAATTTTTCAAAATATTTTTCAGAAAAAAGCAAAATTATATATATTTTCGGTTTTAGACGTTGGTTCTGTTTGAAAATAAACGTATGCGATTTAGATACCTAAAAAAATTTTATTTCTAATTGGAATAATATTCACAATTTTTTTCCTGTTTCTCTTCCATGGGTACAATTTGGTAAAAAGGAAGTAGAAGGCACTTGCTACTCATCTAACGTCTCTTAAAATTTGTCATAAGCAACTATTACGAAAACCATACTTGTATTGTAAACCTTATCAGATCATAAATAACCATCACAAAGCATTGTCTTGATGAGAATCGAGTTCACTAGCTCGCGATTGCGTAACTTGACTATGACCTCGGAGAATTCTTCCGTTTCATATTGTTAAAGTAATCTTCTTTACTCGAGTTTGCATTTATTACGTTAAGTTATTTTGCTAAAGGTGTTTGGGTCGTTCCTTCTCCCGTGTTGATAAATAAAAACATGGCTTTAAATTTACTTTCAAAGCAAGAAAATATATTGATACCTAACAAAGTTTTATAGAAACTGTTCTACGCCAAGTATTTGAACATTTTGTATCTTATATTTATTGCTTCAGACCTTTTACATCAATATAAACATGTGTTTTGTTAGTTTATTACTGATAATCACAATGGGAGCGTTTGGGCTGTAGTACCCACGCGGATTGGAAACTTCATACACGTCATTAAATTTCTGTGCAGACTCACAATGATTTCCTTTACTGAAAAGCTCATGGTAAATTTCAAATTTTTCGGTGCCAGCCGGGATTTGAACTCACGACCCTCTGCTTAACAGGCGATAGGTCAAACCATTATGCTACTACGGTTTATTAATCAGATTTTTTTAGTAGCGGTATAATAGTTCCTCGTGACAGAATTCATCCTGGTAAGTACTGCCACTTTAACTATTTCTGCCGCCAAGCAGTACTGTGAGTATTAGTGCGTTCCGGTTATGAAGGATAAGGGTGCTGGTGAAATTACAGGCACATTTACGTTCTGAGATCTTTGTGATTTAAAGCACTTAGTGGTACTACGACAGTTATGGACAGGCGTGTCACTTACCACCAGATTTGTTTGTCCCGTTACTTGGTCTTATAAAAAAAGATTTCTTATCAACTAATTATAAAGTTAATATGTTAAGTTTTCACTGGTAAAACCTAGATATATTTGTAAAACCACATAGATTGAATTAGTAAGATCTGCTGTAGCTCAGTTTGTAAGAATGGTAGTTACGTTGAGACAACAGAAACTGGTTCGAGTCTAGTCGGATCGAAGGAAGTTTTCTTTGCCTTTGTTCGATCTTTGTATTATTAACTGCCTCCGTGGCCGAACGGTTACCATGCTGGACTCCACGCACAAGTCTAGGGTTCTATTCCCGGGCCGGGATAAATATTTGTGTGGCCTATATTTATTTCTGTCGTGAGTTTGGGTGTAATTTGTGTATGCCCATGTATATGTCCATGGCACCCACGATAAAGGGGTTTCCTAGTGCAGGGCCATGAGTGTGTGCGTTACTATTACTATTTGTAATAATAATAACATAGTAGTGGAGTATTTTCACAAAACATAGACGAATATCATGTAGTAAAAATATTATGATTGAATATCATAATATTTTTACTACATGATATCTCATCTTTGCGATTTAAAGTCTCGGCGTGTATCTTACCGCCAGGCACACGACTTGTTCGTCCCGTCATTTGACATTATAATATCTAAAAAAAACACTAAAACAGACAAACAAAAAAACAGTGTCTATTTACCAAAATTGTAAGTAATGCACGTTTGTCACCTATGATAGATTTTTAAAATTCTAACAAAGTCCGTTAAGTGTTCCTTTATTTTACTTGTGTGGAGTTATGTATGGCATTACAATAGTTAATAAAAATCTCATAAGCCGAATTCATCTTTAACTTTCTAGAGCTTCTTGTAAAAGCGTTCGTTCAGGGAAGTACTGCCACCATACCTATTTCTGTCGCCAAGCAGTGATGTCAGCATTATTCTATTCCGGTTTTGAAGGGTGCTAGTGAAAGTACAGGCACATGGGACTTGGCAACTTATCACGGGCGCAGTGGCAGTGCCCTTCAGATCTTTACGATTTAAAGCTCTGAGTGGCTCTGCAACAGTTATGGGCAGGCGTGTAGCTTACCATCAGGCAGACGACTACTTCGTCCCGTTACTAGATATAAAAAAAAAAACTTAATTTGCCACCCTTAAAGGTGGAATTTGAATGGAACCAGTAATGAGGTAACCCCTTTTCAACAAAAAAAGAATAATCGAAACCAGTTCACAAATGTCGGAGTAATTGTGTAACGTACACACAAAAAAATACGTCAAATTGAGAACCTCCTTTTTTGAAGTTGATTATAAATAGAGTATCTGTTTACGCAATATAGAACTCTTTGTGTTATTCTGGACACCCGGAAAGCCTGCTGTCATCATAAACCATAAATAGTGCCTTATCGAAAGTAAATCAAGCACAACATTATGAATCTTGTGAATTCAGCTAATGGAGCCATGTTTCTACTTTGTATGACCCTGCAATACGCGTATTGTTACGTTGCATGGGAAGATGTGCAATCTTTTATGTAAGTCAACCTCGAGTACATTTTAGATTTTGATGTAAATTTTTAACCGAGCCTAAAAAAAAGGAAGAGGATTTAATTCTTTTGTATGTTTTTATGTAGGTTTGTTACGTTAAGCTTGTAAGAAAGCGATTAGAGATAAGTTCGACAAGGTTAAAATTTCTGTTGACATTTATTAAACTTTAAACTTTATTGACCTCACATGGTACAAAAGGCGGACTTAATGCTAAAAGCATTCTCTACCAGTCAAACTTTGAGGAAAACATAATGTTATTAATGATCTTTAAAATTTTTTAGTCTTATTAAAATTTGAATTTTGAATACACAGATCGCACTTTTAGCAGACTAAAAAAATCCCAAAATAATGCAGTGATTTTTTTAAAGTCTGGCCCGTTATTTACTTTTTATTTTAGGTTTAATTAGAAAGAAAACATTAGTTGACCTTAATTTTTGTCATTCATATATTACTAAGTCGATATTAAAAGACGTTAATTATAATTTCTAATTTATGTCTGATTCTTATTTATGCAAATATAAACGTAACTATTTTATATTCCCACTTTTTTATTCATCTAAATGTGCCAATGTGTGTATTTATTAACTTGTTTCGCAATTTTACTATTTCCCCTAATAACACTTAGATACGTCTGGAAAAGTGAGTCTATTTAAATACATAACGATTTTTACGATTTTTATGCAAACCATAGATATATATATCTTCATTAATATACAAAGTTGACACACGGGAGTTCTACTCTTGATTTCCGGATGACTTTCTCAATCGAATAGGCGAACAAAAAGCATGTCCGTTTTTCAGGTCAAAAACACGAAGAAGCAAATACTCAAGCAACGTTTTCGAGTTAAAAACTAAAATTTACTTTTTAACGTTCACTGACGCAAACCGATAACTAACGGTTACAACAACTAACTGTGGGAGCCCCTTCATACATCCCACGTTTGTGAAATCTAAGTCAATTGCTACACGTATTTATTGACAATTTGCCAACTACAGTACCTTTTTGCCCGACTGTGGCGTATTGAAAAGAAAGTATATTGAGAATAAACTCTTCTGACGTGAAAAGATTTAATACCGGATAATAAACCCCATAGATATATTCTATATCTATGATAAAGCCACATGTGCGTATACGTCTGAAGTCTTTTTATAGCATGAAAGTAGTAGAGAAATAATACGGAGTATTTGAAACAAATTACGTATATTTGAAATTGTATAACTCACCTATTTAAGCATAAAAAGGTTTATTGTTTTCGTGATTGTTACACATGTTACAACGAAACTATTTTTCCGGATTTAAATCGCGTAAATTTGTTTTTTCAAACAAACCAATATTTCGGGTCCTTCTTTATAAAATTAAAAATAAGGTATTTAATTAACAACTTTTGTAATTATAATGAAAAAATAGGGTGGTTTGCATTA